AGAAGCACGTATTTATAGCGATTTCATGTCTATAGTAATGTGCTACCACTTTGACTAGAGTCAGAAGCACGTATTTATAGCGATTTCATGTCTATAGTAATTTGCTACCACTCTGAACACAGTGAGAAGCACGTATTTATAGCGATTTCATGCCTATAGTAATGTGCTACCACTCCAGAGCGACAAGCACGTATTTATAGCGATGCCATGCCTATAGTAATGTGCTACCACTTTGAATAGAATCTGAAGCACGTATATATAGCGATTCCATGTCTATAGCAATGTGCTACCAATTTGAACAGAATCAGAAGCACGTATTTATAGCGATTTCATGTCTATAGTAATTTGCTACCACTCTGAACACAGTGAGAAGCACGTATTTATAGCGATTTCATGTCTGTGGTAATGTGCTACCACCGTTAACGTAACAATTTACCCTTTTGCAATGAGAATCGTAGTATCATAGATCTACAGGTGATAAAATGAGAGACCACAGACGCAGCTCTTGCATACACACGGAGACGAGTAGAAAAGAAAACTACTGACTGACATTTTATTCACAGCCCGTCCTATATTTTTTTCTAGACAATTCTGACATATGACTGTTACCGAGGAAGACGTTACTGTATTAGGTTTGATAGGAGGTAAATAACAGTCGTCGTCACTTTAAAAAATAACAATCTCATGTAAATACTTGTGTATTTACAAAATGTGTGTTTGTATGATCTAAAAAAAGTAACACGAAACAATATTATAAACACGCAACCGTGTTTTCTCGGTGACTCACAGCTGTGCACTCATTAGCGCCATTACTACTGATAAAATAAAGGTTTGTCACTTGTGTTAGCCTGCTAGCCGTATAAGCTAGTTAGCACGTTTAGCCACAGGGACCATTTCCTAATATTTTAACCAACTCACCTTCAGCGATCACTCTTTTTATCCTCAGTTTCAAGTCGCTGAGTTCAACCATCTGTCCAACGAAGTCATTCTGGTCCCGGTCCTTTCGGGCCCGGGCTGGCCGCCCCAGACGAGCCGGGCCCGGAGAGGAAATCCAGTGCTGACTGGAACAGAGACATGTTATTCCGCAGTGCCCGGCTTCGGACGCACAGCCGGCCGGCTCCAGGTGAGAGAAAGAGTCGTGAAAACCCGTCCCCAGAAAAAAAATAGAAAGAAATGTGTACGACGAGAAAGCGTGTTATAAACAATTCGGATCAGGTGATATTGTCCTCTGTCGGGGGGCAAACATCCTCTTCCTGTTGCTAGGTTGACGAGGCCGCCGCCACACAGACCTTCTGACTTCCGCAAAGAGCAGTGACGAAAAAGACACGCAGTCATGTGAGGGAGAAACTGTTTTGTTTTACATTACATTACATTACAACGCTACAACAGCATTTTACATTATACAAGTTAATAATGTTGAATATTAATGTATGTATTAGTTCATAATATGTATTTTGGTTTAATTTATTTTGATTTTGTATTTTGGTTTAATTTATTTTTTTAAGATTTACTTGAAACCTTTTCTATTACAGTCAGAATTTTACTTTTCTGAGTAGAAAACCCAATAAAAATATTTTAAGTCAAGTTGCTACTGTAATTTTTCAGCCTGGGATCAATAAAGTACATCTAGCTATAGATACCTGACTAAAACTCCTGCGCAGTCGCATAAACTTTTTTAAATAATGTTTTTGTGTATTAAACTGTTACTTTAGGTGTGGAGAGAAACTGCAGCGAACCCCGTCTTTAGCACAGTAGACGATACACAGTATGTGCACAGTTTGCTAAATAAGAAGTCTGGGCAATAGATTTAGACAACTTTACTAAGACCTATATTTCAAGTAAATAAATAAATACTTAAGTCAAAATGAGATACAAATCCATTGGTACGAAATACTACAATGTCTACCACCGTTTCTGGAAATAGTGTTTGTCATTTCCTGTGTTGTAAAAGAGAAGACCACAAACTTCAAGCATGATGATGAGGTACATCTTTACTGGTTCAAAGTTCAGTATAATTAGAACAACATTAAAATCAGTTCCAGATCCTTCTTTCTCCTCCAGAGCCCGGTCTTTGAACAAGAAAGACGTACCACATCTTAAAGTCAATACAAAACACATTAAAAAGCAAAAGGATTGTGGAAATAATCCTTAAAAAAATAACACCTTAATCTTTTAATTTCTATAGTGGAGCCATCAACAGGTTGGTCGATGCACTGCAATAATGTAAGGACTTATATAGTGAATCAGATGGGATGGGGGTGACGTCTGGTGGTGACTCATAACATGTGACGCAATAATAATAGATTTTTTAATCATTTTTAATCAGATTTTTGTGATGATGTGAATAATGTGTGATTGTTGGCCCATGTGAAAATGAAACAATAATCTCTGAGAGATTATTGAGAAAAATTACCAGCTACTGCCATTCATTTCCAGTTATCATGCTTATTCACTGTACATGAATCTGGAATAGAGATTTTAAAGTCGACTTCCATCTGTTTTTCTTTGCAAACTGCGGAGGGTTTTTTTCCCCGGTAAACGTTGGTTTGGTTTTCACAGAAACCGGCGTCAGAAAAGGCACTTGGTAAAACTGACGATCCTTCGACATGTTCCGACACTTCTGTCCAAAGATATTCAAACAAACACAAAGGTCTGCGACACAACTCTGTCTAAAGCCTTCAATCTTCGAAAATTGTGACCGGGAATCTGAAACAGAGAAGAAGAAACGACGCCGTCGTCAGTTGTTGTTGAAGAATAGCGCGAGTGTGTCATTTTCCAACTACAGACGAGAACCGACGTACAAAAAGAAGGAACGTCTGCCGAGCTCCGTCCCGTGGCTCTAGCCTTCGATGGAATCCTCTGGAACAATGTGTCCGTTCAAGGTTTTCTCCATGGACATTTCCTGAAACAACAGACAGAGGTGAGAGTTGGAGTTTCGCCTGGTTTGTAAAATGTCACACCCAGTAACTAATTAAAGAAACTAATACGACATAGCAGGACTGGAATGTTTAATATACCGAGGTACATCAAGTATACACTGGTACAAGGATTGAATAATAAGTATTTTATCTTCCCCAAAACCTTCCCTGACATGTCATGGGAAAATCAGCAAAAAAAAAAAAAAAAAAATACATGAAGAAATTATGAAGGTCAATATTTTGTGGAAATTGGTTTTCTATCACCGCCAACAGTGCCGTTGACCAACAGGGCACTGATGGAAATTGGACTACTGTTGGTCAGAGACAGAGTCAGAGACAGAGAAGAAGAGGAGGGCGTTTGGTTAGGAGAAAAAGAGAAAAGATGAAGAATAGAAGTGTTAGTCTGAAGTTTGGAACTTTGAATGTAGGTACAATGACAGGGAAAAGTAGAGAAATAGCTGATGTGATGGAGAGAAGAAGAGTAGATATTTTGTGTGTGCAGGAGACCAGGTGGAAGGGCAGTAAGGCTAGAAACATTGGAGGAGGCTACAAACTGTTTTATCATGGTTCAGATGGGAAGAGAAATGGAGTAGGGGTGATCCTAAAGGAAGAATATGTAAGAAATGTGGTAGAGGTGAAAAGAGAGTCAGACAGGTTGATGTGTGTGAAGGTAGAAGTAGAAGGAGAGATGATTAATGTTGTTAGTGGTTATGCCCCACAGGTGGGCTGTGAGTTGGAAGAAAAGGAGAAGTTCTGGAAGGAGCTAGATTGGATGGTAGAGAGTATCCCCAGGAGAGAGAGAGTGGTGATTGGAGCAGACCTAAATGGTCATGTAGGGGAAGGGAACAGAGGAGATGAGGAAGTGATAGGCAGGTTTGGTGTTAGGGAGAGAAACGTAGAAGGACAGGCAGTGGTAGATTTTGCAAAGAGAATGGAAATGGCTGTGGTAAACACATATTTCCAAAAGAAAGAGGAACATAGGGTGACTTACAAGAGTGGAGGCAGGTCCACACAGATAGATTATATTCTATGTAGAAGATGTAATCTGAGGGAGATTAGAGACTGTAAGGTGGTGGCAGGTGAGAGTGTAGCCAAACAACATCGGATGGTAGTGTGTAAAATGACGATGGAGGTGACAAAAAGGAAGAGAGTGAAGACAGAGCAGAAGATCAAGTGGTGGAAACTAAGGAAAGAGACATGTTGTGAAGACTTCAGGAAGGAAGTAAGGGCAGTTCTGGGTAGTGTTGAGATATTCCCAGATGATTGGGAGACTACAGCTGCAGTGATGAGGGAGACAGGTAGGAAGGTGCTAGGTATGTCCTCTGGGCAGAGAAAGGAGGACAAAGAGACCTGGTGGTGGAATGAGGAGATCCAGGAGAGTGTGCAGAGAAAGAGATTAGCGAAGAAGAGATGGGACAGTGACAGAACAGAAGAGAACAGACTGGAGTACAAAGAGAGGACAAGGGAGGTGAAGAGGGAAGTGGCCAAGGCCAAACAAAAGGCATATGAGGAGTTGTATGAGAGTTTGGAAACAAAGGAAGGAGAAAAGGAGTTGTATAGATTGGCGAGACAGAGAAATCAAGCTGGGAAGGATGTGCAGCAGGTGAGGTTGATTAAGGACAGAGAGGGGAATGTGATCACAAGTGAGGAAAGTGTGCTGAGAAGATGGAAGGAATACTTTGAGGAGTTGTTAAATGAGGAAAATGAAAGGGAAAGTAGAAACGAGGAGCCAGAGACTAGTAGGAAGAAGGTAGATCAGGTTAGAAAGGATGAAGTTAGAAAAGCCCTGAAGAGGATGAAGAGTGGAAAGTCAGTTGGTCCTGATGACATACCAGTGGAAGTATGGAAGTGTTTAGGAGAAGTGGCAGTAAATTTCCTGACTGGTTTGTTTAACAGAATTTTAGAGACTGGCAAGATGCCTGATGAGTGGAGAAAAAGTGTTCTGGTGCCAATTCATAAGAAGGGTGATGCACAGAGTTGTAACAACTACAGAGGGATAAAGTTGATGAGCCATACAATGAAGATTTAGGAAAGAGTAGTTGAAGCTAGGTTGAGGCAGGAAGTGGAGATTTGTGAACAACAGTATGGTTTCATGCCTAGGAAGAGTACCACAGATGCAATATTTGCCTTGAGGATGTTGATGGAGAAGTACAGGGAAGGTCAGAAGGAGCTGCATTGTGTATTTGTAGATCTAGAAAAGGCATATGACAAAGTGCCAAGGGAGGAATTGTGGTTTTGTATGAGGAAGTCAGGAGTGGCAGAGAAGTATGTTAGTTTGGTGCAGGACATGTATGAGAATAGTACAACAGTAGTGAGGTGCGCTGTTGGGAGGACAGAAGACTTCAAAGTGGAGGTGGGACTACATCAAGGATCGGCCCTGAGCCCCTTCTTGTTTGCTGTGGTGATGGACAGATTGACAGATGAGGTCAGACAGGAGTCCCCATGGACTATGATGTTTGCAGATGACATTGTGATCTGTAGTGAGAGTAGGCAGCAGCTAGAAGAGAACCTAGAGAGGTGGAGGTTTGCACTAGAAAGAAGAGGAATGAAGGTCAGTCGCAGCAAGACAGAGTACATGTGTGTAAACGAAAGGCAGAACAGTGAAATAGTGAGGCTACAAGGAGCAGAGGTGGTGAAGGTGCAGGAGTTTAGGTACTTAGGATCAACTGTTCAGAGCAGCGGAGACTGTGGAAGAGAGGTGAAGAATAGAGTACAGGCAGGATGGAACAGCTGGAGAAAAGTGTCAGGAGTGATCTGTGACAGAAGAGTGTCAGCTAAGGTGAAGGGAAAGGTTTACAGGACAGTGGTGAGACCAGCCATGATGTATGGTTTAGAGACAGTAGCAATAGGCAGAAGACAGGAGGAGGAGCTGGAGGTGGCAGAGTTAAAGATGCTAAGATTCTCTTTAGGAGTGACAAGAATGGACAGGGTCAGGAATGAGGTCATTAGAGGGACAACACAGACAGGAAGGTTTGGAGAAAAAGCTAGAGAAGCCAGATTGAGATGGTTTGGACATGTGCAGAGGAGGGACAGTGGATACATCGGTAGGAGAATGTTAGAGATGGAGCTACCAGGTAGGAGAAAGAGAGGAAGACCAAAGAGGGGATATATGGATGCAGTGAGGGAGGACATGCAGATAGTTGGAGTCAGAGTAGAAGATACAGAGAACAGGGAGAGATGGAAATCAATGATCTGCTGTGGCAACCCCTGAAAAAGGGACAAAGCCGAAAGGAAAAGAAGAAGGTTTTCTATCACTTTTTTCAGTTTTTTAAGTTATATATGAATATATATAAATATATTCATATATAATAATGATAAAGTGGTTCCATTGTGGAGCGGTTAGCACGCCTCCCGTGCCAGCAGAGAGTCTTGGGTTAGTTTCCCAAAGGAACCACATATCCCTAATGGCGCCCCCTGTGGCAGCCTGTGTTACTTGCAAAGACCCACACTGTAAATGTGGGACAAATAAGAGACTCATTTAAAAAATTGTATCTTATAGCTTTTACTATTTTTTATTATTATTTATGTATTTTTGTATTTTCTGTTTAGTGTAGCTTGATTGTTGATTGACTGAAGTTGTAAGTTGCTTTTGGATAAAAGCGTCTGCTAAATGTATTGTAATGTAATATCCATCCATCCATCCATCCATTTTCATCCGCTTATCCGTTACCGGGTCGCGGGGGCAGCAGTCGCCGCCCAAATCACATTGCACCGTACCAAACCTTCCTGCGGGTGGTGAGTCCACTGGAAGGTACCAACCGCCCTAACCGGGATTCGAACTTGCCCAGGAGGTGAACCCTGGGGTTCCACACCAATGACAGAGACATTGCCTCTGGGCCAAAGCGCCACTGTAATGTAATATATGTTTATGTAATTCATCTGTGATCTATTGGGGTTTTTTTTGAGGTTGGTTAGGACTCAAACTTTTTATACTCTGTACCACCTGAGAAAACATTGAGCTCTCTGAGTACCACCATGAGGACCAACCAAATATAGCATACAGTATATATATGAATTTTCCTCGCGTACCACTAGAGAACGGTCATACCACAGTTTGAGAACCACTGGTTTAGGAGGCACAGTAGGATGGGGTTCGGCCTGAACTGTAATTTGTTTACATCAGTCTCATTACCATTGAGCCAAGCTGCACAGACTCCATGCCTAGATGCATCTGTCATTTCACAGGTTTCTGTCTTGAGTTCTCCTGGAAGCAGTGATTCCAAATGTGAAGCCTCCTGGCAGTAATGACAGACGTGAGTGAGGGTTAGCAGAGACACCGCTGTACCGCAATATTACACTGTATATAGATCGATATAGAGTTCTTTTGCAAACCCTAGGGGATCTTTGGAGGTACTGCATTGTGAAATTGGGTTATTTGACAATTATGAAATTCAAACGTCAGTGCAGGCCTCACCTGCTGTGTAACTGCTGAGCCGGCAATAGTTTCTCCCACTGCTGTGATGGGGTCTGTGACGACAAAGTCATCCACCATCGTGTCGGGGGCTTCCAGTGGGGCGGGGACCTGAAGAGGACCCCGCCCACATAGGACATAAGTCATAAGACATTACAAGATAATGAAGTAACAACAAAAATATAGACATATTAAATTTAATATAAGTACCTCAGGTGTGACCTCCTTCACTTGAGGCACAAGAGTCACCTCTAGTAGAACTTCAGGGACACTGCACAACTGTTGGAAACAGCAAAGACTGGCATCAGAAGATGTTAAACATCGGATGTTTCTGGCGAAACGTGCCAAATGGTTACGGCAAATGCAACATAAATGAGAAGAGGTTTGCGATTTTTTTGTTTGTTTGTTTTTTCATTTTGTTTTGTTTTGCTTGGTTTTGGGGGCACCTCTGTGGTTGTCAGAGGCTCAGCTGGGACTTCAGGTTTGCTCTCCTCAGCCATCACTTCCGCTTCATCCTTTTTCTCCTCTTTGCCAGGAGCTGGGATGATCACGACGTCTTCAGTCTTCTCCTGTGGTTCCTCCGCCTCCACTATCACGGTCTCCTTCTCCTTCTCCACCACGACCGTTTCCGTGGCCTCTTCAGTTGCTGCAGGTTCTGCCTCTGGCGAAACCTGGAGGGCGGGTTCTTCCACCACAGGTTCTTCTGGACATGCAGAATAAACAGGTTAACCAATCATGCATTACATCCATTAACAGAAATTCTAAAATCACACTTCAGGGGGTGATGAGAGCTTTTACCTGTTCTGGTTCAACTGTAAGGACTGTGGCATCAACAGACTGTACCTGAAATGAGGTAAAGAAATACAGTACTTTTACTACTACACTGTGTGCACAATTATTAGGCAAGTGAGTATTTTGACCACATCATCATTTTATCCATAGTTTCCAACTCCAAGCTGTATAAACTTGAATGCTTATTGGATTTAATGCATATTAGGTGATGTGTATTTATGTAACGAGGGAGGGTGTGGTCTAAGGAGATGAACCCCCTATATCAATTTGTGCATAATTATTAGGCAGAGTCTTCTCTTCAGGAAAAATGTCCCAAAAAGAGATTTAACTGACTCTGAAAAGTCAAAAATTGTGAAAAGTATTTCAGAGGGATGCAGCACTCTTGAAATATCTCACAATAAGATATTGTGGCGTGATCACAGAACCATCAAATATTTTGTTGCAAATAGTCAACACGGTCGCAAGAAACGTGTCGAGAAGAAAATACGCAAATTAACTGCCAAAGATTTGAGAAGAATCAAACATGAAGCTACCAGGAACCCATTATTCTCCAGTGCTGCCATATTCCACAACTGCAACCTACCTGGAGTGTCAAGAAGTACGAGGTGTTCAGTTCTCAGAGACATGGCCAAGGTAAGAAAGGCTGAAACCTGACCATATTTGAACAAGACACACGTTGAAATGTCAAGAATGGGCCAAGAACTATCTGAAGACAGATTTTTCAAGGGTTTTGTGGACTGATGAGATGAGAGTGACTCTTGACGGACCAGAGGGATGGGCCCGTGGTTGGATCAGTAATGGACACAGAGCTCCACTTCGACTCAGACGCCAGCAAGGTGGAGGTGGGGTACCGGTATGGGCAGGTATTATTAAAGATGAACTAGTTGGACCTTTTCAGGTTGAAAATTGACTCAGAATCAACTCTCAGACCTACTGCCAATTCTTAGAAGACACTTTCTTCAAGCAGTGGTACAGGAAAAAGTCTGCATCTTTCAAGAAGACTTAAAGATGAAAAACTAATGACATAGCCCCCTTCTTCACCTGACTTAAACCCTATTGAGAACTTTTGGGCCCTTCTTTGGCAGGAAATTTACAGTGAAGGTAAACAGTACACCTCTCTGAACAGTGTCTGGGAGGTCTTTAACAGGTGAAAATAAACAAGTGAGATGGGAAAATCTTTGTTTTTCATTTAGTTGCATGATAATTCTGCACACTAATAGTTGCCTAATAATGGTGTACATGTAGATATTCTCTTAAGAAAGCCAAAGCTTCACTTTTACTACTTAAATGTTCAGGTTTGAGGGTTTGTTAACATTTTGGATTGACCAAGAGCACTGTAGTTGTACAATAACAAAATTAATCCTCAAAAATTCAACTTGCCTAATATTTGTGCACACAGTGTAGTAATTAATACTTTATTTATTTGTACAAACATTAATATGTATGTGAAGTCCAACAATTTCAGTTCCTGGATATTACAACACCCTGGCCAAAGGCTTTGATTCAGTGAAAATGGAATTGCACTACCAACCTTTTGGGTGGCAGAACTTTATCTATGTAGGGTAATAAAATTATGTAAATAATCTTTTTTTATGAAAACTTTAAAATACTAGCTTTCCTATGCTAGCTAAATTAGCTAGCTATGCATTGTATTTTTTTAATTTTGTTGTCGATGGAAAGCATTTATAAAATGTGTTGTGAACAATAACAAAGAGTGATCTGTGAGGCTGAACCGTTTCTATTGTGAAAGTGTGTCACCTTCACTTACAGCTGCTGTGATTTTCTAACTTCTGCTCTCGAAGAAGGCGGACACTTTTTCCCTTTGCTCCCTCCCTGCCCTTACCTACCCTGCTACTGCTCTGTGTCTTGTAACGTCTCTGTAAAACTATCTCGGAGCCTCTCTCTGCATTTTCCTCGAAAATCAAAATGATGGATCTGGTCAACTGGTCTCTCAACGCAATTGATCAAATTTTCTCAACCATGAAAATGGGTAAAGGAGAACCCGCTTGCCCTGACGGCACCTTCCCGGCCGGCTACACGTTGGACTCCTGGTACAGCTGGAGGATCGTGTGCCTGTCCGTGCTTTCCGTGGAGGATGTCGAAGATTTGTACTTCTTCTTCTTTTTCTTTCGGCTTTGTCCCTTTTTTTCAGGGGTTGCCACAGCAGATCATTGATTTCCATCTCTCCCTGTTCTCTGTATCTTCTACTCTGACTCCAACTACCTGCATGTCCTCCCTCACTGCATCCATATATCTCCTCTTTGGCCTTCCTCTCTTTCTCCTACCTGGTAGCTCCATCTCTAACATTCTTCTACCAATGTATCCACTGTCCCTCCTCTGCACATGTCCAAACCATCTCAATCTGGCTTCTCTAGCTTTTTCTCCAAACCTTCCTGTCTGTGTTGTCCCTCTAATGACCTCATTCCTGACCCTGTCCATTCTTGTCACTCCTAAAGAGAATCTTAGCATCTTTAACTCTGCCACCTCCAGCTCCTCCTCCTGTCTTCTGCCTATTGCTACTGTCTCTAAACCATACATCATGGCTGGTCTCACCACTGTCCTGTAAACCTTTCCCTTCACCTTAGCTGACACTCTTCTGTCACAGATCACTCCTGACACTTTTCTCCAGCTGTTCCATCCTGCCTGTACTCTATTCTTCACCTCTCTTCCACAGTCTCCGCTGCTCTGAACAGTTGATCCTAAGTACCTAAACTCCTGCACCTTCACCACCTCTGCTCCTTGTAGCCTCACTATTTCACTGTTCTGCCTTTCGTTTACACACATGTACTCTGTCTTGCTGCGACTGACCTTCATTCCTCTTCTTTCTAGTGCAAACCTCCACCTCTCTAGGTTCTCTTCTAGCTGCTGCCTACTCTCACTACAGATCACAATGTCATCTGCAAACATCATAGTCCATGGGGACTCCTGTCTGACCTCATCTGTCAATCTGTCCATCACCACAGCAAACAAGAAGGGGCTCAGGGCCGATCCTTGATGTAGTCCCACCTCCACTTTGAAGTCTTCTGTCCTCCCAACAGCGCACCTCACTACTGTTGTACTATTCTCATACATGTCCTGCACCAAACTAACATACTTCTCTGCCACTCCTGACTTCCTCATACAAAACCACAATTCCTCCCTTGGCACTTTGTCATATGCCTTTTCTAGATCTACAAATACACAATGCAGCTCCTTCTGACCTTCCCTGTACTTCTCCATCAACATCCTCAAGGCAAATATTGCATCTGTGGTACTCTTCCTAGGCATGAAACCATACTGTTGTTCACAAATCTCCACTTCCTGCCTCAACCTAGCTTCAACTACTCTTTCCTAAATCTTCATTGTATGGCTCATCAACTTTATCCCTCTGTAGTTGTTACAACTCTGTGCATCACCCTTCTTATGAATTGGCACCAGAACACTTTTTCTCCACTCATCAGGCATCTTGCCAGTCTCTAAAATTCTGTTAAACAAACCAGTCAGGAAATTTACTGCCACTTCTCCTAAACACTTCCATACTTCCACTGGTATGTCATCAGGACCAACTGACTTTCCACTCTTCATCCTCTTCAGGGCTTTTCTAACTTCATCCTTTCTAACCTGATCTACCTTCTTCCTACTAGTCTCTGGCTCCTCGTTTCTACTTTCCCTTTCATTTTCCTCATTTAACAACTCCTCAAAGTATTCCTTCCATCTTCTCAGCACACTTTCCTCACTTGTGATCACATTCCCCTCTCTGTCCTTAATCAACCTCACCTGCTGCACATCCTTCCCAGCTTGATTTCTCTGTCTCGCCAATCTATACAACTCCTTTTCTCCTTCCTTTGTTTCCAAACTCTCATACAACTCCTCATATGCCTTTTGTTTGGCCTTGGCCACTTCCCTCTTCACCTCCCTTGTCCTCTCTTTGTACTCCAGTCTGTTCTCTTCTGTTCTGTCACTGTCCCATCTCTTCTTCGCTAATCTCTTTCTCTGCACACTCTCCTGGATCTCCTCATTCCACCACCAGGTCTCTTTGTCCTCCTTTCTCTGCCCAGAGGACATACCTAGCACCTTCCTACCTGTCTCCCTCATCACTGCAGCTGTAGTCTCCCAATCATCTGGGAATATCTCAACACTACCCAGAACTGCCCTTACTTCCTTCCTGAAGTCTTCACAACATGTCTCTTTCCTTAGTTTCCACCACTTGATCTTCTGCTCTGTCTTCACTCTCTTCCTTTTTGTCACCTCCATCGTCATTTTACACACTACCATCCGATGTTGTTTGGCTACACTCTCACCTGCCACCACCTTACAGTCTCTAATCTCCCTCAGATTACATCTTCTACATAGAATATAATCTATCTGTGTGGACCTGCCTCCACTCTTGTAAGTCACCCTATGTTCCTCTTTCTTTTGGAAATATGTGTTTACCACAGCCATTTCCATTCTCTTTGCAAAATCTACCACTGCCTGTCCTTCTACGTTTCTCTCCCTAACACCAAACCTGCCTATCACTTCCTCATCTCCTCTGTTCCCTTCCCCTACATGACCATTTAGGTCTGCTCCAATCACCACTCTCTCTCTCCTGGGGATACTCTCTACCATCCAATCTAGCTCCTTCCAGAACTTCTCCTTTTCTTCCAACTCACAGCCCACCTGTGGGGCATAACCACTAACAACATTAATCATCTCTCCTTCTACTTCTACCTTCACACACATCAACCTGTCTGACTCTCTTTTCACCTCTACCACATTTCTTACATATTCTTCCTTTAGGATCACCCCTACTCCATTTCTCTTCCCATCTGAACCATGATAAAACAGTTTGTAGCCTCCTCCAATGTTTCTAGCCTTACTGCCCTTCCACCTGGTCTCCTGCACACACAAAATATCTACTCTTCTTCTCTCCATCACATCAGCTATTTCTCTACTTTTCCCTGTCATTGTACCTACATTCAAAGTTCCAAACTTCAGACTAACACTTCTATTCTTCATCTTTTCTCTTTTTCTCCTAACCAAACGCCCTCCTCTTCTTCTCTGTCTCTGACTCTGTCTCTGACCAACAGTAGTCCAATTTCCATCAGTGCCCTGTTGGTCAACGGCACTGTTGGCGGTCGTTGTTAACCCGGGCCTCGACCGATCCGGTATAGAAATCGTTTTATTGATCTGCATATTTGATTTAGCTAAACGTTTTACGCCGGATGCCCTTCCTGACGCAACCCTCACCATTTATCCGGGCTTGGGACCGGCACTATAAACACGGCTTCGTGTACCCTAGTGGCTGGCTTAATTCAGGCCAAGACCATTGATGAGAAAACGAGAAAAGCTTTCTGGCCTTTAGAAAAAAAAACTGGTGATTTATTTTGTTGGTTATAAATATGATCTGAGCAGGACACGGTGTTCTTACAAATAGATTGGAATTTAGAGAAAAATTCTATTAAAATAAATTCCAGATCGAAATCAATCAAGGCATTTTTGTCTTTTACATTTTGAAATATTATTCACTCCCTCACCATCTTTGCACTCATGCCCGGTCCAACCGTCCATGCAGACCTTGGAGCCGCTGTGGTCACAGTTAAAATGGCCGAAGAAGTCGTCGCGGGACCGGCAGAACTTGTTACAGAACGGTCCGTAGTAGTTGGAGTCACAACGGAAGCGGAGACGATATTCCAGGCTGAGAATCCGCCCGTGGTGACGATACGTCTGCCACTGTTCACTGGGGTTCAACATGGAGGAGAGCAGAACTCGCTCAATCAACTGGCCTGAGAGGAGAGAGAGGGGAAGAATTAGATAGAGAAAAGTGATTAGAAGACAAAGAAGAAGAAGAAGAGGAAGAGGAAGAGGAAGAGGAAGAGGAAGAGGAAGAGGAAGAGGAAGAGGAAGAGGAAGAGGAAGAGGAAGAGGAAGAGGAAGAGGAAGAGGAAGAGGAAGAGGAAGAGGAAGAGGAAGAGGAAGAGGAAGAGGAAGAGGAAGAGGAATCTCCTTTATCGTCGTTGTACATTTGAAATGTGTCCTCTGCATTCAAACCATCAACTCATTCACTCAGCAATTTGGTACAACACACCACAACCAGTCATAGTGTATTAATACAGGTTTCAAAATGTATTATTATTATTATTATTAACTCACATAAAACACAAGGAAACTCTGAGCTGCTCCTGTTTTGCTGCTTGCCACACTTCCATTGCATTTGTGAGGTGTGTGTGTGTGTGTGTGTGTGTGTGAGACCTATGAGTGAATCCATCCCATGAACTAAAGTGTTAATGGAGAAGTGAATGAATCCTATTGTTCTTTTTGTATAAGGGTAAATTGTACACCACAATTAAACAATGACTTCAGTCTGCCGAGTAAATAGTACCAGATATCACCGGTTCCATGTAAGACAAATCCTCATCACGTCATACATCTACTAATATACAGTGAACGAACTAAAGCATTCGATCAATGTTTTTTCAACCTCAGGGTTGCTACCCCACGTGGGGTCGCCTGAAATTCATACAGGGTCACATGAAATGTCTAGTAATTGATATATAATAATTACTGATAAAAAAAAAAATTAAAAGCCAAAAAAGTTTGGGAACCATTGCTACCGCCTCTGCTGAGGGCACCACCTGTGATGAGAAGGTGTTTCAGTAAGAGAACGCAAACAATCAGAAACTCACAATCAAACATACAACAGTCTGAACAAAGAAACACTGCAGCTACATTTTGACTTCAGTCTCTCCCAGGGGGGTGTGGTCAACTCTAAGGTGAATGTTTTTTAAAAAACACTTTATCAAACTCTTTCTTGACATTTAACATAAAATTCATTGCAGATCCTCTCTTATAGCTGACTTGGACTTGTACCGAGCCCCACTGGCAACCAGAGGGAGCAGCACATAAATATTGTAACTCTTAATGGCCTGAATTATTCAGCATTTCTGCTGTCAGGAAACGTTTCAGTTCCAGTTCGGTGAAAAAATAACAACTGTGACATAAGAGCGTCAAAGACTCGGGCTGTTACCCAGAAGCTGCTCGTCCTCTCTTGCGCCACTGGGAGGCCAGGCATCGAATTCTGCAGGACTGTAGCAGCATTTGAACAAAGGCCAAAGTAAACACACTCATATAGAGGAGAGGGGATAAATATATAACCCAGCCATATACATGGAGGCTTGTATGGGGGTGAGCCCCTGGGGGGGAGGGGAGGGATGTCTGGGGAAGCCATAGGCTTCGCTGTACTGTATGTATGCAGCTGAGCATGTGTGGCTTCCTACAGTAGACACGCCCCCCTCCAGTGTATGGCTGCAGCAGCAGAACACAGTGTTCTGTAGGAACGGCTACAGTTCCACATTTAGCAAAAGGAAGAAAGTTTTTTTTTTTTTCTCTAATGGCAGTGAGTGAACATGCAGCCACACGGAAGACACGAGTCAAAGTCACAGCTCAGCAAACGAAATGGTTTTTACATTTTTAAAAATCGAAAATTATTTCAGTGCACAAAAGAAAAATACACAAACCAAACATATATAAATATATATAATATTTATATATATTAATGCTGAAAACGTTCTCCTTCTGATAAGAGGCCACAAATCAGGACTCTCTTGTTGCGTTTAGACACAATGATAAGAGCCCACAGGCTGACATACGGTCAGAGAAGAGAGGGTGAAGAAGGGGAGGAAGAAGGGTGAGGAAGGGGTGTGGGGAAGGCCGAGTGCAGGCTGGTACAAAATGTTCAGCAGCGGTGGCAGCAGCAGCCCACAGCGTGTTGCTCGAGGCCTCTTCTGGGCTAAAGTTGGATTTATACTCACCTGGTCCTGTGTGAAGCCGACTTCTGGTGCCACCTGTTTCTGGCTCCAAAGCCAGCTAAAAACGAGGCCCATGTGTGCACACTACTCTACGAGGAAACACCTGCCGTCTTAACCTGAGCCCTGGGGCTGCGAGTGATCGCAACGATCACCAAAAAAAATTGATAAAAAAATTCGGAAAAAAAACAGAAAGCAGATAGATAGAACTGTAGCTAATAGAAAATGAACATTTCTGCTGATGAGTCAAACACTAGATGCACAAGGAGGAGAAAAGGAAGAGGGAAGAGGAGTGAATGAGTGAGTAAAGGAGGGACATTGGGGAGTGTACAGGCGGTACATGTTTCCTGTTACGATAGAATATGATCATTTTTGATGGAACATTCCTCTCAACTTCCCCACACACACACTCACACACACCTTGTTCTCATACTAAGCCTAGGGATATGAGTACATTTTTGAGTGTGTGTGTGTGTGTGTCTGCATTATTGCTGACTGTGCAAACATAGACGTAGTAGTACATGTACAGTACTGAAGGACATTCTGTTCCCGAGTACTCAATCCAAATCTTTGAAGTAGAACTTGACTCTAATGATAATGTTAAAAAAAGAACTTCATAGAAAGTTACAGTATTTAGCAAGGTGCTAGTATTAGCTAGTTATACAAACATCCGTGGGTACTTTTCTACTACAAACACAAGGTATTCCAGACGCACTCCGGTAAATGAAGTAAAAACTCTTGAAAACTCATACAGTCAACAGACTGTACGCCGTGATAATGGTCAGTATTTCATTTCTTTCCAAAAGTCTGGGGACGTTTGTTCACTGATGTCAGCTGAGATTTTCCTCCTGATCTCTGCAAAAAGGAACAAAATGTTCTCCTGCCCTCGATCCTGCCTCTCCCACCACCTCCCTCAGTCACCCTAATCTGCAAAAAGTCAATTCCAGTAGGTCACAACACCAGGACCCTTCCCTCCTCCCACTTGACAAACTCATTACTGCAGTACCACCACTGATACTCTAAAGAAGTTGAGAATTTTTCTGGTCTTCATGTAATGAAACTGTTTTGTAAAATAGCAAAAATCGGCCAATCAGAATGCTCTATGCCTTCATAAAGAACCCCCACGCCGCATAGTATCACACAAACACAATATCTTGTCCGTGGTGTCGTCAGATGCACACTCTCTCTGCCATGCCGATTTTTTTTTTAAACTTTTGCAGAATTTAGGAAGTCGTTGTCATTAAACAGAACATTCCGGAACTTTTTGGGGGCTGCGAGTATTGCCCAGAAATGTTCTACCAAGAAAATTATATAATTAACATAACATTCTCCTACCTCTGTCGCCAGTTCTGTATGAGGAACGACGGGTTCACACTCCTGCACTTGACCAGCTGGGACTACAGAGGGCTCCACTGATAAAGACTCGACAAATAGCGTTTCTTCTGCAACTGCTGGTGTTGCTTCTGTTATGACTGTTGTTGCTTCAGTGACGACTGTTGTTTCTTCAGTGACGACTGGTATTTGTAGAGTTGTCACTGGTACATCTTCCCTGACCACTGGTGTTACTTCGGTAGTCACTGATGCTTCTTTAGGGATCACTGGTGTTTCTTCAGTGACAACTGGTATTTCTTGAGTCGTTTCTTCGACAACGACTTGTGTTTCTTTGACGACCACTGGTGTTTCTTCAACGAACACTGGTGTTTCTTTGGCAACCACTGGTGTTTCTTTGGCAACAACTGGTGTTTCCTCTGCGACCACTGGTGTTTCTTCGACGATGACCGGTGTTTCTTTGGTGACCATTGGTGTTTCTTCGGTGCCTACTGGTGTGTCTTCTACAACAACTGGAGTAACTTCAGTGATAACGAGCACTTCTTCAGATAGCACCACGGTTTCCTCATTTACCACTTTGGAGACCACCAGGGTTTCTTTGCTGATGTCTGGCACTGCGTTAGTCTCTACTGGTGCCACCATTGGTTTTGGTTCCTCCTTGCAGATCTCCACAACAGGCACCCTGATGGGAATGGCCTCCAGGATCCTCTCCAGCTGGTGCTGGAGCTTCAGCTGCTTTCTTTGGTGTCTTCGCAGGGGTCTTCGAGGAATCTCCTTTGGGCCTGCTGCAAAATAGAAGACACACACGAACATCTGGATCTGAATGGTCTTATTAAGAGTGGTGTTGTTTTACAGCGATTCTCAAACTATGGTACGCATAATACTGAGGGTACTAGGACTACCTCTAGTGGTATCCAGGAGGACTCTGATTTATTTTTTCATGAGTAAAAGGCTAAAAAATCACTGGGGTCAAATGTGGAAAGTGAATGTTTTTTGGCTCTGATTGCCACCGAGCGGCTGTGGTTAAGGAACCGGACATGGCACTGGAAGGTTTCAGGTTCAAGTCCACCAGCTGCCAAGTTACCATTGAGGTGCTCTGAGCATGGCACCGTCCCCACACACTGCTCCCCGTGCACTTAAGTTGCCCCCTGCTGACTTTGGGGTTAAAAGCACATTTGGTTGTGTGTTGGTCACATTTGGTTGTGTGTTGTGTCACAATGACAAATAATTCACTTCAATGTGTGCTTCCATGTAGCACATTCAGGTTGCAGGAAAACTGAGCATGCCATTCCAGCCAGGTCGAACATGTTTTTCAGCCCTTGATAAAACCCACTTGGCGTTGACAGTTTTGTTTTAGGGGTAGATAGTGCTGCAGGGAGGGGCAGAGGCACCAGGAGTGGGAGTGGGCGCAGCAAAGCTACTTATACAGTGGTATGAAAAAGTTTGGGCACCCCTGATCATTTTCAAGATTTTCCTTAATGGATCATTGGTTGTTCGGAACAGCAATTTCAATTAAATATATCATAGCAAACAAACAGTGGTATTTAAGAAGTGAAATGAAGTTCATAGGATTTACAGAAAGTGTGCAATAATTACTTAAACAAAAG